CAGAGTGAGTATCATGAATTGGTGTTGGGGAGCGAGGGGTGAAAGTTTTCACAACCTAATATTGGAACATGAGCGAGAGCGTGTTTGAAATGAACAGCAAGGGGTAGTCGCATCAAATAGGCTTTTTACATATTTGAAAAAGATTACGCTTTCCGCTAAACACTTCAATTTTTTTTTTCGACTCTTAAATGCTATCGACATAAAATGAACGTTCCCATATTTTTTATTAAAACCTACTCTTTCCAACAATCCCAGATTCATACATATCTATAATCTACAGACACACTCTCCGCACCTAACACTAACCTCTCCCTCGCGCTCGTCCCTTCCCTGTGTCAACATCGACGGGAAATACGTAGTTGCTGGATCGGATGATGGGGTCGTCAACGTTTGGAATTGGAAGGACGGAAGTGTTGTGGCTTGTTATAATACTGGCAAAGAGGTAAGATCAAAGACATGCCATGCCGTGTTGAGTGGTGTTGAATATGGGAGAATGAATGCTGCCTTTATGTAATTGTCAACGGATTATGTGTTTTACTGAAACTTTCCAACTAAAAACTTGCCATCTTTACATATTTAGATTCTCTATGTTCAAATCCGGAACGACAAGATCCTATCTCTTCACTCTGATGGCACATATACAATTTACTCTTTATCAATTTCACCTTCACCCCTTCGATCGATTTCCTATCTTTCTCTCCAACCAACCGATGCAGTCGTCTCTGCCACCAGCAATTCTCGCTTTCTTTTGTGTGCAACGAGCGACTTGATCTATTTGTTTTCCTGGCCAATAGATGAGACAACGAGGGAACCGGATTTCACCAAACCGCCAGAGAAGCAATGGGAAATGGACGCCCCTGGAATTGTTCCGTGGTGCGGGTGTTTGGCTGGTCGAGGTCGTTGTGTTATTAGTAATTGTAGTTCCGCCGGGCCCATTTGTGTAGTTAAGCCTGAAGGAATGGTAAGGTTCTTGAGGAAGGGCGTTTGTGTTGGGGAGGATGCAAACGAGGAGGGAAGCGGAATAGAGGTAAATTCCGGACCTTGGACTTTGACAACAACAAACGAAGTTCGATCGACTGCGGACAGTCCTTTCTTGTCAACAAACCTCTTCTCGAACCGTGGGAATATGTCGGAAACTCTTCCCGTGTCAACAAACCATCAAGACACGGCTTCAGGTGTTTCGATAAGTGTCGACTCGGACCAACGGAATATAGACAATATAGTTGATAATCCTGCTCCCGCCCAGACTAACCCGTCACATTTTGCTAACGGGACTTCTTACGGGCCACATGGATGGAAGTTGCTCAATCTTGAGGAGCAACCAACTTTTATGGATGTGGATGATCGGTATTTGGTTATTGGTACTCGGCAGGGATCGCTTATTCGGTGTGGGTTTGATTAATATAAAGGACATGGTTATGGACACATGCACGAAAGAGTAGTAAATAATGCAAAATCAGTATATAGAAGAAAAAAAAAAGTAGGGATATAATGGAGTAAAGACATTGAGTATGCATATCATGTAGGATAATCAATTTTTTTTTTTTTTGCAGGTTAGAGTTTTTTTAGTAGATTTGATAAGTAGAGATGGCGTGTAAAGTTTTTGGTAATTGTATCGTTCTCATCTATTCTTCAAATGGACTCTAAAGATAGATACTTAGAGTTTCAACTTTGTATAAAGAGAGTTTGTGAACTATAAAAAGTATTGGTTAGCTAACTAATCAATGAAAGTCGTTTTCAAAATAATAATAATAACGTTATTCGGTGAACTTTATATGTTTACGGTCTGGGTTATTCCGTATTAGTTTCAATATTTATCTGGTATTTACTCGTCGAACGCTGCTTTGGGATAGCGGCAACAAAAACGCAGTAACGAACTGACTCGGTATATTAATAATACTTGAAAACGTTTTTCGATTTAATGTTAAAAATTCTTTCGACAAGATGGAATGATTTGTTATTCACAACAATCTGTCTCGTAAAAATTTAATTTAACTCTAGAGGAATTTTCAACAATCTATTCCGAATAAAAAACCCATACCCCCCATGCTTAAAATCATTAATAACTAGTTCTCAGAATTAAGCTTTGCACCTTCTATATCCGCCAACACCATCTCTTTGACGAGGTCATCAAACTCAACCTTTCTCTTCCATCCAAGCTTATTCTGGGATTTGGCAGGATCACCCAAGAGAAGGTCAACTTCAGTGGGACGGAAGTATTTGGCATCAACGCGGACACGAATAATGCCCGTCTTTGCCTCACGACCAATCAACTCTTCGCCTTCTCCTTCCCAGACTATAGTTTTCTTAATGACAGCAAATGACTTTTCAACAAATTCGCGCACTGTGTGGGTCTCACCGGTGGCCAAGACATAATCATCTGGGTGGTCTTGTTGAAGCATCAACCACATGCCCTCTGCGAAATATAAATACTGGTTAGAAACAAAGCAATGTCATATGCTCTCGGGAAGGATAATGGATCCAAGACATTCTCTCAGCTTTTCCATCGACACTATAATACATAAATTATCACATATACTTACCGACATAATCCCTAGCATGTCCCCAATCACGTTTAGCATCTATGTTACCCAACCATAAGCATTCTTGTTTGCCCAAGTGAATTTCAGCCACAGCACGTGAAATCTTGCGAGTGACAAAAGTACGACCTCTACGAGGAGACTCGTGATTGAAAAGAATTCCATTGCAGGCATACATGCCGTAAGCTTCACGATAATTAACGACTATCCAAAAAGCATAGAGCTTAGCGACACCGTATGGAGAGCGAGGATAAAACGGAGTGGTTTCCTTCTGGGGAGTTTCTACCACCTTTCCATAAAGTTCAGATGTAGAAGCCTGTAAAGAAAAGAAAAAATATTATAAATTAAGAACAGGCGGGGGGGAGGGAAGAGGTAGGAGGAGGTACACTCGAGATGACAACACGTTATGCAATGTTTTGGGTTTTACCTGATAGAATTTGACATGGTTGGTCAACCCGCAAGTACGAATGGCGTCAAGAAGACGAAGAGTACCCAAGCCATCGACATCGCCAGTATACTCGGCCATGTCGAATGAGACCTTTACGTGGGATTGAGCACCAAGATTATAAACTTCAGTCGGGAGCACTTGGGAGACAATGTGTACGAGATTTGTCGAGTCGGTCAAGTCACCGTAATGGAGAATCATCTTGGCACCGCCTTAAAGTTGACGATTATTATTAGTACGAGAATATTGGCGAGTAGTACGATAAAGGTCGAACGATTAGAAAGAAGGGATTTTCAAAACTTTATATCGAACAGGATTTTTCATTTCACTGTTCATTTGCATCGAGATTAAATAATGGCGTAGCAAAAGATTTATAGTAGAATCACCAAACATTAAATAAATGAAAGTATGAAATATCTATATCGGATACAATCTCTATAACTTTATCGTAACAATGATTACTTACTCAGATGCCGATCTTTATATAACGAATTAATTCTCCCAGTATTAAACGATGATGACCGACGAATGATGCCATGAACGGTGTATCCTTTATCTAACAGGAATTCGGTGAGATAAGAACCGTCTTGTCCAGTGATACCTGTGCGTAGCAATAATCAAATAATACGCTTTCAGAGTCCAGTCGATACATCATAATGCAAATACGACGGTCTTGCACCGCCGACTTGGGAATCCAATCTCGTACTCACCAGTGATCAAGGCCACTTTTCGCTTCGCATACTCTTCTGGAGACAGAGAAAGTATCTCAAGAGTAGTTTTATTAGCTACAGACATTATTTACTAATTATCAAGTAAAGGACGAGGTCAGATGTAGTTGGTTATTGATTTAGAAAACGTAAAAAGCGAGAACACCACACAATACGTAGAGAAGGAAGAGTTGTGAGGGAAATTAAGGATCTCTGCTAGCTATTATCTGCAGAATATGCGAATGATTATTGGTGTGTCTAGACAAAACTCTAAAATTTTGACATACGCTCCCAAAATAGAATGGTGGACAAATTATTAATATAATAAATAATAGTATCAAGGTAACACAAGGGGGAGCTAATTAATGATTATTTGTTGTCCAGTCCTTTATTTTTTGACAGATCTGGTTAACCCGCTGGTCAATAACAGGTTTCTCAATAAAGAGCCAAATATTTGGACGTTTTTCCCGAGGAAATGTGTCGAGAACGTTTAACGAGAAAGGGAATGGATTGGTTTCTCGAAGCGTTAGAAGAATTGAAGCGTTACGACTTGAAGGCGCGATTATGCAGTAATCATGCAGAATTGATAATTACTATTCAAATTCCCTTGTGCGAGTTTTCGAATCATTTGCCAAAGGATTTATTAATTACGGGAGGCAAACATGTATGTTTACACACGTGTTGTTCTTTGTATGATGGCGATCTTCCGTACGCCCTGAAGCGCTATCGCTATCTAGGGGCTTTTCCCTATATTCAGTCCACCTTTTACGTATTACAGTTTTCTTTTTAATTCATTCCAGCCATACTCGTTGGCAACATTCCTATCGGTTTACATATTCATGTTTATATTTATATTCTACTAATGGTTTATGCGTAACCCCTTTGCACAACATTACTAAAAACGGTAAAAGCTTCCCAGAACGAGAATTATTGGTTGTTTATTAAAATTCAGAACTTTTGCCTGGTTTTGTTGTAGTCTGTCCCATATTAAGATATGTTGCAGTCAAAAATCATACGATAGGGCTGTGCCGATGAGGCTTGGTTCCCAGATATGGTTGACCAATTAAGTTGGATTTTCAAAAAGGTCAAAGCAAAAAACCGTTAATTTGTAATCGTTAAAGTCGACTGGTATATATATATTTTTAATAATGGTGCACGAGATCAAAGCGAGGTCATACAGTTTGATTAGTATTAGTATTGTTCTGCCTGTAACTACAACAGCGATAGCTCAAAAATCGGGTTGTCGATAGCAATAGCAAATATGATGTAGCTCTTTTGACAAATGATTCACATTCGTCAGGTTGGATTTTACGACTCTAAGAATTCTTCTAACCCATTTGCTATACTGATCTTTGCCTGTAATAGCATAAAAATAAAAACTAAAATCAATATTTTTGCCACATATAACCATCACGTGTTCAGCATTCTCTAGTATAACAACCTTCTCTGATATAGGACTCTTGGCCGCTAGGTAGGCCATGATGAGGTTCTTCGCCAACCAGCTATTATTCACAATGCCAAGCTGCTTATCCTATTCGACATAAAAATTAATAAACTATTTTGTACATTATTAATCATATCAACCAGTAAATGTTACCTGATATTCCATTTTTAAACTTCCATCCTTTTGTTTAGTCAGCACAAGCGCAGTACCAGCCTTGAAAGATGACTTTGGGAATAGGGCTTTAAAAGATGTCAATGCTTCCAGAATTTCCTTTGTCTCATCGACACTCAGATCAGTTTTCTCCATCCTAGCTAGAACCGCTCTCGTAAACCCATCACGCAGATGCTGTCCATTAGTATCGCGCACGGGAACTTGCAATAAGTAACAAGACGAGTTAACACATTTCGGTATACGATAACAGTTGTGAACAATCACGAAATAGACATTCATTGCTAACCCACGCGAATTGCAATTTCAACAGGCTGATCAACGAATGCAAGCGGAATAGATTCATCGTCTGCTGAAAGGAATTTTTCCTTGTCATAATCCTGATATGACATACGCGAACATTAGAATAATGGCTCGGTATTATAATTATGATAGAGTACTTAATAAGTGGACGACTTACCTTCCACTTCCTAAGCGTTTTGATGTCATTGTCGGCAATATACAAACCAACAACATATACTTTTATACTGAGAAATGACACTGTCCTGACCCCCAGTCCAATTACGCGGGCTTTAGTTCCGTCGCAGAGTGTAATGCATCTGGGAAACAACACTTTACTATCAGGATCCTCTAGCCATATAGAACACCGTGATCAGCATTGGAAGATAGACGTTCGTTCAAACTTTTGTTCAGCCACTCTTGCTAATGTACATGCACTATTCCTATTCTCCTCAAGTCAAAATTCTTACCAATGAAATTATGCTCACTGGAGGGGGCGTCAGCGAGAACGACGTTTGACTGTAGATACCAATACGCAACAGTAGTTCCTGCTACAGAGGCTAGTAAATTTTTCGCAGCACGCTAAGGGACGCATAATGTGAGAATAAGGTTTGTTTGTAGGAATGGACACTACTACTATTAGTGTTTGATCAAACCTTATTTCCAGTGGCGGAGAATGGAGATAGAGATAGCGATAGTAATGGTGAGGGAGTCGCTCGGACGGTTTGAGAAAAAATGAATGAATATGAATGCCGGAATAAACCAAGTCTAAAAACTTGTCGAACGTACATAGACATTGATCTGCAAATTAAACTGATGATGGTGTAATAGTAATATATTATGTCAGAAGATCTCATTGTCATATGACCCGATTTCCAAAACAGAGAAAATCAAGTGCATTCTTTCGGAAGTTAGCATGCACAAAAAGAACATAAGTGATGTTTGGTCGGTATTTCAAGTTAATGTGTGTGTGAACGATGAAATTCACTGTATTTCGCCTCCAGCAAACAACGAACCATCATAACATAACCCTTTTCGCGTTTCAAAGAAATTTATCATTGTACAATGTCGCACTATGCGATCGATAAATATGCTTTGCACGAACGAGCACGTTAACTCATCGTATTAATGTAAAAGAAACTGTCGATTCTACAAGCATGTGCCGTGCTCTCGCCTGTCTTTATTATGGGATTTTCGATAAAGCATTCAGATCTATAAATTGAATTTTCAATGCTAACGAACTGCAGATCGCTTGATCGACAAGAATGTAGACTATTAAATAACCTGATACTAAATTTGGTCAACTCAGAACTATCGCTATCCCTCACAATTATTATCGCGATTGAAATGTTCACCGGGTAAATAAGAGACATTGACAGTTTACAATTATATAATATATATCTGACAGTGGATATATGGGAGCTACCTGCGTAGCTGTTGGGGATGTCTCTCGGTCGATTTGAAAACACACGCTCTCCTGGGTGACTCGTAGGATCTGTGTCTTATGCTCTACAACTGCTCAACATATTGGAATCGTTTATAAAGAATGGAATAACCTCATAATATGATTTTCATCATCTTGCAATACTTCTAATACCAGTATTGACGATGCTCACATATAATTGCTCTACTAATGTGTAATAGATATTATCACGTTCGGTCACTTTGTTGACTTGTGATTATAGAATGTTCCAATTCTCGATGGAAAACTGAAACTAATAACTCCATTCTTAGGACATTGCCATATTAAGTCTTATCAGCTGACTTTGAAACATACCAACGTATATGGAATGGCCAGAATCCATGACACCAGCACAAACAGGAAATGTATTTCATATTCATAATACATTTAATTGAATACAACAATAAGTAGACTTATTATGTATTCTCATTACGACAGGTGAGTTCACAATCAATGCGCCCCACCAAATAAGTTATAAACAAGCCTATTACATTCTAGGTATTACGAATTTACGCATGTTTCATAACGGTCGATAGAATGAAAACCCTGCCAACAATGATAAAAGTGTCGGTTGGAAAAAAAAAAAAAAAAAAAGAGCTTTGAATTGACCAAGCCACCAGTGATGTCACATGTTTGATTTGTTAAATCTATACAGGTTCAGGTGGACCTTTTTTATTATTATTCCAGACACATCGTATGGATAATACCCACATGCAACGCTCTAATCCACGTAACCTTAATCGTTCCAACTCTTCGTCCACGAATCAACGATCTTCCAACGCGACCTCGAACAACTCTGTAGCCATTAATAATAATAGTAATAACTCTTCCGCAGATAATAGGAACGATCACCAACAACACCAACAACAACAGCAACAGCAACAACACACATTACAGCAACAAAGAGGTTTAGATTGGGTATTAGGACTGCCGATCCGAGTAAAAACTGTCACCGATGAAGAACACGAAGGACAGATCTATGCTTACGATTCAAAGACGAGCTGTATTGTGCTTCATATCCTTAATAATATGATATTATGCCATTACTCTATAGCATTTCTCTTCCTAACTTTTCAAACAAGTATGGCTAAGGGAATGACTTTTTCATTAGAATTACTTCTTCCACAATCATGAATTATTCCTTAACCTAAACCAATCTCATTTCGGTTTTCCAATGTTAAACAGTGCTTAAGCGACCAGACGCTGTCTACACATACGCTTTCAGCACCGAAATATGATTTTCATATTTTAAAAATCGGCTTTCTGAAAGAAGTTACTCAACTACCATACCGGAAGAATTCTATTAGTGACAGCGTGCCCACAACGCCTGTTACGACTACACCCAACACCATTCCTCCAACTTCAGACGCCACATCAAACAACGCTAATACGGCAAACGGCCAGAATGCGATTAGTCAATTCTTCGCTAAAGCCTTCCCGAAAATTAGTTATGTCCAAATGGATAAACTTCAACAAAGAGGTATACAAGCATACAAAGACACACAGTGTCAGCTAGCGAGGATTGGTGATGGGGTTACGCAAGAGGCACAAGAAATCTTCGATGCATTAAGTAAAACGTAAGTGGAATAAAAGAAGATAAGGGGGGGAGGGGGCCGAAGGTTAAGGACAAAGGATTAGGTTGCGGATTTATGTTTAAGAGATTTGGAGTGAGCAAGTAGAACTTCACAGGGAGTGCGTGGGGAGGACCGTAATACTAATGTTATGAATACCATCTATGCAATCGTTTTTCACACGACTTTATCTTTCAATAACAACATCCCAAATTACGATGCTAATACCTTACCTGACCAACTTCTCACTATCATCATTATATACACTCTCTACATTCAGACTACCGTGCCGATGGGCTAAGGATACCATCGTGGTTCTCGATGAAGTGGTTATTACTCCTCCATACAATGTTGAGAATTGTAGGGCTAATTCAAATGCTGCTGGGTCATTAGAACGTGTTAAGAAAGTGGTATGTGTGGGGGTGATATTGAGAGATGGGGGCTTGCTACTTTTGTGACATGAATATTTAGTATCCTATTTTCCTCTGAATTAGTTGGAAGGTGAAAAGCGACGATTGGCGAGTGTTCGTCGGCAGGGATCGGCGGCGTCTGTATGAGTATATCTTTAATGAATGTGGGTGTGCTTGTTAATGTGAATTTTGCATGCACATTATTCCCAATTTCATCGCGTAGATCATTCATAACAGTTATCCTTGAATTCGAATTGTAATTCTTATACAGTGACAACATCAACTAGAATCACCTCGAATCATTCCCTTCCCCCTCTATTGCTGTTTAAACAAGAGGGGTTTTCACCAAATGACAGGAACAATAATATTGTTGAAATCTGATTTAGAGCTGTTTGTAATTTAAGCTTTCTTGGTCGAGTTTTTTAATGCTTTTTATCCTCAGCTGGATGCCGAGGTATTTCACCCGATCATGTGATTGAAGGAATAAGAAATGTGATTTTTTTTATTATAGTTTTTACGAACTCTTTGTCACTAAATCATGTGATGTCGAGCCAAGATGGCCTGGGTGATATATTAATATGATCACACAAAATAAATATTATTCGACGCGATTATTTTTTCGTGTTGAACGAGAAAGTAAGATATGCAAATATAAACTACTGTACCATATACCATGGATCGGATTTCAACTTCGTCGAGCATAAGAAAACATGTGACTGGGGATATATGATGATATTCTGGCGAAATGAGTCCAATTAACAATCGTAGACGATAACGATCGTAGCATTTAAGTATTATGATTATTATTGCTCAACACACTACTACAATTTTCCAACCCTAATTTAGCGAGCACTCACATTTCATATTTAAATTGCGCTAAACCGATGGCGTCGCATTTCAGATGTAAATAATGTAATACTGTAATACATCAAGTCACAATCACATGATAAATTGTTGATCCACTTTTCTAGGTTTCGTACCCAAGCCGTCATCCGATAAGTTCAATGAAAGCAAATGCGGTTTGTGTTCCCAACTTCGGATATGCGAGCGCAGTAATTAATGCTTTGCTTGGAGGATATTATGGCACAGGCAGTAGGAAGAGAGCATAAATGCATAGTTGAAATAAGAGAAAAATCAAATTGTCATCTTTACAATCTTTAATTTTCATTATTTCCAAACTAGGTCATAATTTGTAATTTTTTTGGGGGTTTATAAGAGGCGTATTGCAATTTCAATAGTAAATGTGCTTTATTAGTACGCGTTTTCTTTTTAAGAAGTCGGCTGACAGTTATTTCTTCGCCATTCGTTGCTTTCAGTTGGGCCATTAAAAATATATCTTGTTCGGATCCAGAGAGCTTCACGTAATTTAGCAAACTTTTCTCTTGTAATCATTTTTGAGCAACCACAATTGCAACCTATCTCCAAGAAGCGCTTGGTTCAGTCGAACCACTATAATTATAATTTTCCATATACGGGTATCCTATATATAGATTTTATTGTGCATCTCATCAATTATAGTTAGAGTCTTTCTTTCTTTCTTTCTTTCTTTATGAATTTCGCTTTCACAATAAACTTTAGAGTTGTGCATTCGCCATAACAACTAAGAATGAGACATAATGTTCAGGAAATGGCTCAAGATGAATTTTAAGACTAAAGTAACTAGACTATGTAAATAGCAATTCATGCAAGCATTCTCTTGTTCTGACCACATCTTCATTATTATTACTATCCATCTCTGCCAAACAAGGATATACAGCCTATAGTCACGGTGACTATTACTATAAGGACTCACAGTCACGTGAGGTATTCATAAATAAAAATCGTTAAATAAATAATTGCGTTTAATATTGTTGATATAAGTTTATTCCAAAAATCACTGGCGAAATAACCGCTTCATTTATCGCAAATAATAGACAGAAACGTTCTTCCTATACTAAAAACTACATCTAAATCGCGAAGAGAGTTAAACACCTATCAAAACATCCCTGTGATCACTCAGAGAAAAATGACTTATCTTTTTTATTTATTATTTTACTGATAGTCGGAACTTTTGGCAGCTGCATATGAAAACCGTCAAAGGAATGTTATGGGAGATCAAGTGCTTTTTGCTGTTCGGTTCATTTATTCTTATGTAACATTTTATCGCTTTGAAGTCAGTAATAATTACTTTAGAGAATTGGCTCTTGGTTTGCCAGCTAATAAACATATTACCATGACGCGCTGGCCAGGGCAAAATACTAAGACTTCAGGTATTGACCTAAAAACTGTTGATGGACGTCGTCAAGTACTTCGTTGTCTTATTGCAATGCGTAACCATGTCAAGAAGAATAAGACAACTTATTAATAGTACATGTCAAAAATGAAAATTGTCTTGCTGGTTGCAATAAATAATAAAAAATATTTAGTGGATCAGTATTTCTACAATTTTTTAATGTTCACTTTGTCTGGTTTTGTTGCAGCATGCCCCAATTAATGTTGGTCTTTACAATGATAAAGAGGAATTCTGTGTCTCGAAAATAGTGCTATGTCTCAAATTCGGGACTAAGATGTACGCGCTTTGAGAGAGTGCAAAGTATTGGTGATTGGGCTGATCATCATAAAAGGTAGAAGAAACTGGTCCTCTGATAATATGATCTGTGATTGTTTAAGCATTTATGACAGTCTGTATATGATGAGGCATAGTATATACCAAATTTTGCTAACGTTTTTCCTTTAAGGTTATATGCACACTTTCTCCAAGTTTTTAGGCAGACTTTTACTGTTTATCCCGTTGAGATCAGGACTTTAGGCCATGAAAGAGATAATATTAATGTATAGCTATCCTCTTAAACTGACCTACTTCTGTTGTCTGCCGCGGTTAACATTATCGTCTTGAAAAAAAAACACAACATATTTCGGAGGCGTAGGTACGGTGGACTTTTTACCTTCCAAGTTATAAGGCTTTTAAGACAATAATATTTATTGTAAGGGTTCAAATATACCAAATGTAATCCATCAATTTCGATTTTATCTTTAGAAACTGACGGAATCGATCATTGTTCCTAATGACATAACTATGTTATTTGACATTACATCCTCAACACTTTCTTCCAAATGACGTTTCGGATCTTGTTTTCCAACATGACGGGTCTTCAATTGTTCAGGAGTCATTGTCGATTCATCTTGCACCGATTTATTATACGCTTCGGCCAATTGCAACATGGACTAGATGAATGAAAGGCAAATGTCAATACCAGTTAACAAAGTGCATTATTGCTATCTGATAAATAATATTCATCATATGCTGAAGCATATTCACCTTGACGCTTTTCTCATTGAGCTCAGTATGCTCGTTGAAATTGGTGAGCGTAAGTCCATGAGTCCAGTTCTTTTTGTGCAAATTTAACAACATTTTCTGTTCCAATTCGTTCTTTCGATAGTTGATAGCAATCGAATAGTAATGGCGATTGAGACCGTGGATCAATGCCTATACATAATTAGACGTTAAGAATCTTAACGAACGTAATATAAACGCAACACATCTAAGCCGATCAAGAGAGGATTGCTATTTACCTGAATGCTAGGCTTATTAAGGTGTCCGATATTCGACGTTGTCTGTCGTGGTTCCTGACCGAGCATCAACATTTGAGGATTGATTAATCTGAACGCATCTATTACCACTTTGCCTTTAACCGACTGTATAGGATCTACAACAACAGCCACTGCTCTTGGGTTAAGTTGCTCAAAACTCTACGAAGCAAAAATCGAAGATAGAAAATGGATTAACATATGATTGTTGCTTCTCCAAATCTCGCTTGCTGTCATTACATGTATGTAATGTAATGTACCTGCTGTGTATTGATATCAACGCTCGACAACCAACACCCAAATCCTGGATGTGAATGGTACCACCCAACCACCATTTCATGCCTGTTATCGTGACAAGATTCAATGCAAACATACAGTCAGTGATATCAAAAAAAAAAAGACAATAAACACAAGCTTGAGATTACTTGAATCATCACAAACTCAATCCCACCGTCCAGTCTGTTTGAGCATATCCAACATTCTCGTCTGGAATACTGGATCAACTGCCTCAACAGACACGCCCGTACCGCTTTGTGGCATTGCAAAGACGTCTATTACTCGCACTGTATAATCGTCTACGAACTCGCCTAGCATTAGACCCATAACTTCCATTGGAACGCCTGCGCGGCCTGTTTGGTAGTAAATACAACTGAATCTTTGGTAACAAGTTTATAGAAATTTTCTAAATTATGGTGGGACGTTGTTGCATACCGTGTTTGAGCATCTAGCGTATCGTTTCAATTAGACAAAATGATTAAACCGTTGTTTTCTGTTTCTTCCACAAGATACTTGTTCCTCAGTAGTTTACCTTCAAAAGAGACAACGATGATATATAAACCATCTCAGCATTGTCAACAGTAGGCGTATCCACACCTGCTTGGATCCCCCCTCCCGCTGCTGCTGCTCCGAATAGACGTTGGAGACGTTCCATTTTATAAATTATGTGCGCAAGTTAATGATCAAAAAAAAGCATTTAAAGATGCTGAACAATTACGTCAGTAGATACACGTCTACTGCATCACGCACATGACCAAAAAGTCTAAACAACTTATACTAATACTAATGGTAATGTTACGAGTTACTAAGTTAGCCTTCACTAGTTTATCGTCCCACTACCATTTTTGGAGGATGGCTAAAGCGGAGTAGAACGTGACCTGATTCTTGCAATTACATTGGTCAAATTTGTATATCAACCAATGAAATTGTAAAAAAAAAAAACTACTCCGCTTTAGCCTACCCCCATTTTTGGTAATATAAAATCTTCAATTACCAAAATAGTCAGGGGCGATGGAGGGTGACACCATATATGGTAAATTAGTATTTCCTATAGCTACTTGTGCGATTAATATAGTAATAGATACAATTTCGCATTAGTGATCAGATTGTATCATATCCAATATGAAGCACTCCAATCTATCAAGAAATAACTTATTACTCATTCAATGTATAATATTAACTCCAATTAATACTTTATTTGGCAAAAGCTAATGAATACCATCGTCCCAAACATTATCCAATTTCCAAATCTGTTAGGGTTACCTAAATTACCTCCCCCAATGTATTGCCAAATTTAGCAAAATACCTATTACTAAATATAGTAGGGGAAGCACTGATGAGAAAAGAAGATGTGTTACACACGGATCGGTATTTGACCTCCGTGAAAACTTCTTTATTCAAACGATGTCATTAGTTAATAATGCAGAAATTGATAACTTGGTTCAATCCTCCTTGGAAAGTGAAGATAGATACTTAAGACTTGAATGGACTCCTTACGAAGAAATCACCGACATAAAGCTAACTCATATTGACAACGTCTACTGCGCCAGTCGCAATGATTACATGATAACGCTGTTATGCCTTGGAAACAACAGGGAATGTACACAAACATTTGTTAGTGAGTTTGCTAGAATATACTCACTTCCGACACACAAATACAACAATGACGCTAATCAGTACAGAAGATATTCCAAATGGCTTAGTTATCGCAACAAACTCATAAAAGGATTTACTAAGTCTAATAACAAGTATTACGTGGTTGCTGATCTACCTTTTTACCATTACTATTCTCGATATGGATTCTGCTCCGTATGTGGAATA